GTTTGGTTACTTTCTTCAAGAAAAATTCCGACAACAGGTGATATTCTTGATATTTATACATATAGTTAATGGAACATTAGCATAAAAGACAGCCAGTCGGAAAGTCTATGCTCGCACTATACTCCATGAAATAGGGATTTGTCGTTTCAAACATCTTGTTTCGAACATAATAGGAGGAATTCGAAAAACATGCTGGTGATGAACAAATTATTTGAAGCTGAAAAATGAGATTATAAAGACTAATTGGGAAAATAAGAAGTCTGATCAGTTAGACATTCTTCCCTCACATCTCCATTAAGATGATGCAGTTTGATGACTTCACGTTGAACATGATCTCAAAGATAACATCAACCTATGCGGCTGTTGCTATAGTGTTTGGATGTATCACTAACTCTGTTCTTATTCTAATGATAGTTAAATGTAAAGAATTACATACTCGATCAGGTAATTTAATAATTTCTTCTTTTTCTCTCTGATTATTTGTTTAAAATCCATTTAAGGGTTTATAATGTTAGTATCTCTGTTTTCTCAAGTGATCTGTCTTTTATCTGAAATTTCACATGTCTATACACTCATGATTAAACAAACTATGCATTCTGATACATGTCTTCTTACCTTATTTCCAATTTATTTTTTCTCCCAATTTCAACTAGCTGTACTTGCAACATTGGTATTCGATGTCATTCTAGCAACACTGAATCCTGTGAGGTACTGTCTTTCGAGTAGTTTAGAGATATATTAATGATAGAGATTACATTAAGATATAAAAGCTTTGATTCAAGAATATATCTAACTGTCGTGCTCACTCCAGCTTTCGTTTATGCAACGATCATGGCTATCTTAACATCTTTCAACCTTGTCAACAAAGTTTTGCCTGAATGCAACGTTATGATAAGTAAGAAGAATCTCTTGTCAGAGTTAGTTCACAACTCTTTCTCTATTTTAAGTGCTGAATGATGAATTTGCAAAGAATGAGATGATCGTATCAACATTTTTGAACATTTTCACATTATGCGAATATATGGTTCTGATGTACATCCTGAACACAAGTCTGTTTATATTCATGTCCATTGTTGATAATCCAGAAATTCAGAGAAATCATCTGTCTCATCATGTCTTAACCAGGTCATTAGAAGCTTGAAAGTTATGGTTTTTGTATTCATTACATGCGTATTTCTGGTTCATTTCTTATCACCAATGTTTTATATTTATTTTGAGGAACCAAAAACCCTTGCTTGTCTTCAATCATCATTGGTTTGTCTTCATTAAGATTCCTTTTTCGAATCTATTTTTATATATTTCTTTAATAGATTGTATTGGTTGTAACTCAATATGCTTTGAATTTCTTCATTTGCACATATCGATCGAAGATATATCGAACTGCTTTCTTTGAATTGTTTTCTCTCAATGGACGTACGTTTTTGTGAACAAAACGTATTTTGAGCACAATCATGTTATTGCAGAAGTTGTGGTGAAACCTATCTCAGTGATGTCGATGACTGTCTATTGATGTCTTCAAATACTACAATCACAGCTGATATGATGTTGTTTGGATTGTAATTAAGTACAGATTTATGGATTAAATAAATTTTTATCTTTTCAAATAGCTTTGATTCAACAAACTTGTACCCGGAATGTGTATGAAGAGTTTTTGAGATGTGAAAGCGTGAAAGAAGATTCTAGCGATAAAAGAATAACTAGAAGAGTACAAAAAAAGGAAGAGATGAGAGAACAAGAGAAAGAGAGAGAGAGAGAAAGAAGAGATATAGGATATATTGCTGATAACGCCGTGAGAACTATTTTGATATTTAACAATAAAATGCCAAATAAGGCATTTTGTGTCTCCATTCAGTTGGATGTCCTCTCATGTTCCATCCAATTAATTGCAATTCAGACTATAATATACAATGTAATGTTTAAAAGTATGCTGAGAATGAAACCGATTCTGTTGTGAAAACGTCTTCTTCGGATAACTCAGGAAGGCTATGCAAGTTGATTTGACCATCACATATCTTGATGGAGCCATCCTTCTGCAAAAATATCATTTGCTTCAGTCCAGTTGCTCTTTTATTATTACCATAGTACATTTCATCGAACATGCTAAACGACGACCTTCTTCAAGTATGGAAACGAACAGTCGAACTCCATTCTTATGAAGGAGAGGATTAGGGGCCTGGAACGAGTTTTCTCTGTTTCACTTTTTCGGAAGAGGATATACTTTTATAAATAAGACACTTGGGTCATAGGGAGATACAGCTAATCGAACAGCTTGAGTCCAGATAGCACCAACGTTACTTTCAACTTCTACCTGTAAGGAAACGTGTTCAAGTGGATAGAGTATTAAGAAATCCTGAATGACCTCCAGCCCTTGTATGTTCTTTCTATGAAGTCCTACACGAAGCCAAACAGTGTCGTCAAACGAGGGAATCGGCTTCGTTCTTTCAGCCAAATCTGAGATCATAGCGGATGTGACCATCTGAAGTTTGGATAAATCATAGATCAAAGAATTTTGGTCAAAGAACTTTTCTAGAGCAAGCGAATATCATATACGGTGCGGACACGACAACTTCCTTTGGATGAACAGACAAATCAACATCGAGGAATCTGCAATACATATAAGCTATAAATAAAAATAAAGAAAAAATACTTACTTTCTTGAACTGAAGGAGTGGGTGTAGGCTATAGGCGATGAAGCTTCTGGACGATACCCAATTAGGAGGTTCGGTTGGCATACCTGAAACAATAAAATTAGAAGCATCTATTTGATGCAAAAGCAATAATTAATTAGTTTTCAAAAAAACATTGTGCAAAAACAAACCTGATGCCTCTCAACAGTGCTGTTGTAACAGTATGATTGACAATACCGTCCATTTTGATCACGAGCTTCCAACTGAACTTCTTGAATCATTCCAGCTCTTGGCTTGGGTAAAGGCAGATAAACCGTTCCCTGGAAAGAATTGGATAAAAGGTATAAGCACGCATAGAGAATTACTGGGATTTCTGGGAAGCTGAAGTCTTCTTCATTGAAAACAGTAATGTTGTTTCCTGTCAGCTTGTTAGTTATAGTCACCTGAGCCGAATGAATACCTGAAAGAGGAAGTTATTTTCCAAATATATTCAACTATAGATGTGGTGCAAACCATTTCCATCTTTATCAATCAAAAATGTTTTTGTCCAAACGTTTTCTAATGGTGACGTCACAGGTTGTTCCGCCCTTAACTTCATGGAACTTCTAACACGTGGAGGAACTGTACATATTCCCTAAAAATATTTTTTTGAATTTTCAGATAGCCGCTATGAAATATACCTGTTGGCAAACGGAATTCAAGCATATTGGTTGTCCGTCGTATCCGGTACAGTTTCCTCCAAGAACTACCTGAATGGAACAAATAAGATTTTTCATCAACTTTTTTCTGTTTACTTTACTACGACATCGCCATCTGGACACATCACACCAATAATACGGTGAATCACAGTTTTCTCTATCTGGACTACAATGTCTGACTTTCTCATACTCGTACCTTAATTGGAAAGTTTCATTTTCTATTTATGTTTCAATTGAATCTTACCATTCATCCGTGTATCGGTTGCTTAAGCCATCTCGATTCTGAATCCTGAATGGTTTCATCTGAACGTCAAACGCATGCAGAGGATTGCAAACATCCTTGAAAGATAGAAATAGCAAATAACAAAGAAAATGATTTGAAAACCTTTGCCCACTGCGTTTCACGTTCAATTCGGTTTTGTTGTTTTTGGCGGAATTGTTCCCATAGATAGTCAACAAATGCATGATGCATATAGAACATTGGATCGTTTGGACTAACCCTTAAACATGAAACCGAAATGAAACATTTTCCAATTCAGAAGCCCACCTGATGACAAACATGAATCCTCCAACCCATACATGGCTGAGACCATGAATACTTTCGAAGGTTTTATCGTGACAGAATGTCAAATCTCTTAATGAAGCATGTTATAGCTAAGCCTACTATTAAGACAAACTTGTAATGTTTCCTTGAAGTTATCCAGTCAACATCTGTAGGTGACATCAAGCGATCTTGTGCTCGACCACCAGTAGATCTTTAAGAATGAGTTCATAACTATCATTCATGACCAAAAGAAAGATTACCTGTAAAGCTTCTTAACTGGAATTTGGCTAAGAGGCATTAAAACATTTGTATCCCAATCCTTGAATGGCCCTGTTTTAACATATCCATTGCCATTTCCAAGAAGTTCATCAGTGAATAGAACACTGTCCGCAGCATCAGGAAGCCCTTAAATAGAAATTTATCTTTATTTTGGGAAGAAATGGAAAGACTGACCTTCATCTAGTGTAGAATCCCAATAAGGTAAGGTGACAGAAGGAACTTCTTGTTGCAGAGCTATTTCGAATTGACGAAGAAACTCTCGATGCCATGGAAGAAAGGCTGCCCCCCAATGTGCACCTTAAAAAGGAAACAAAATTGTTTTTCGATATTTGCGAACAGAAAGATCACATCATAGAAACATAGTTACATAATGCAATTGATAAATAAGAAAGGGAAAAGCATGAAAAACTTTCAGTTTTCTTGATTGTGAATCATCTGGATGCAACTCAGTTACCTGGTGCGCTATCTGGATAATGAACTAAGGTATGGAGATCCCAGGCTGTTATGTTATCAATCATCCTCCCTTTTAAGCCATTCATTGCTTGAAAGAGATTGTTTCGTTCTTCTGCCGTCATCATCCGAATTTCTTTGCGAATAGATTTCTCAGTTGCTCTTTTCTGCAAAACGAAAAGTTTTTTTTTGTTGATGATTATTGAAAAGAAAAAAAAATTTTACCCGACGACGGGCTTCCTTGACACAGTTCGTACGTGTACAGTGTTCGATATTTGATAAATATTTGAGCTGTTTATCTAAAACAAAGGTTATGAAGTTACATGCACAGTGCATACATACATGAAGCATCTGACCACGTCTTCACATTTGAATCTCTTTCCTTGAGCCAATGACGACGGTGTTGACATACAAAGTCCATTTGTTGTGCTGTGATGAAACCGTTTGCTGGTGGTCGAATACATGGATCATCTGGCTCGGAATCAGGTCTCGTATGCAGACGTGATGATGAGTAATCAATTAGGCATAATAAAAATATAAATAGTAGATTGGTAGACATTTTGACATTTGATTCGAGAATTCAGAAGAGGTGTTGCTCGAGTTCAATGACGTTATCTGAAAGATTTCAAATCGTTGGAAGCTTATATGAAATGATCAAGCGGAAATTCAATTGGCTACATCATGTTGATGAGACAAAAAAAGCGAAAATGGACAACTTGGAGTGGACGGAAAGGAAGATTTCCTAATGAAGAATAAGGACGATGTTCTTCTTTAAAAAAAGGTGAAACGAGATACATACATAGACTGAATCATGATTTGGCAAGGTTATCGTCTATATAACATCTTAGATAGACAGAGAGAGAGAGAGATATGAACAGACTTAGGATGGAGAGAAAGAGGGGGATCTATAAAGTTTCAGATGATGATGAGATTTCAGTTAAACGACGTCAGAGATAAAAGGAAAAGCTCGATGACTAATGATGAAGCTGTCAAAAGTGAGAAGAATCACGGACTATACATATTAGGAACAGAAAAAGAATCGTTTTGCTTTTTCTCTTGTTGTCTATTGCGATTCCAGAAAGAACTGTTGAGAGGGACAATATGCTTGCATGAGCTAATAATAAAAGAGAAAAAAGAACAAAGGGCATATGATAATTACAGCTTAAGTATGGAGAAGCAGTTAAATATGGGCGACGTGGCTACTTCTTGTTCTTCGCCATCATCTTCTTTTCTCTCACTTTTTTTTTTGAAATTTTCGAAATTGAGGAGGGTGGGGTTGTGGAGAGAGTGAAAGTACGGAAAGATGGGTCGGGTAGAATGGAATCTTTCAATCAGACAAAATATAAAAAAAAAGAAAGTTGGTAATGTTGAATGACAATGAAGAAGCCTGTTTATCAACAGAATGGATTGCGAAGGTCACAACTACCCAACATCATCATCATCGATATAGAAGGCCGAGAATTACAAATATGAAAAGACAATAGTTGAAAAATTTGTGAAATATATGAACTATTTACAACTTTGAATATAATTGCTTCTTCTTCTTCTGCCCCATCGTGTCCGTTTGGAGTGTGAAAGGTAGAAACAGGTGAACACAGAGAGAGAGAGTCAAAGAGGGAGCAAGAGAGGGTGAGAGAATCAGAATCTCGTCTTCTTCGTTTACTCATTGGTTTTTTTCTTTTTCTTCCCCTCCCTCCTTATTCTCGTCATTTCCCTCGTTTCTTTTATACATTTTTCAAACGAGTTTTCTTTTTACTGGACACTTGGGTTCAGTCAACTGAAAAATTCAATGAAACCTTTAATTGAATTTTCTTTTTTTTTTTATTTTCTGATTTCCAACCATTTGGTATTTCGAAAATATTCTAATCTTCATGACTCATTAATTTTTTTTCACGTGACTCACGTGAACGGCCGTGAACCAACGCCCTCGCGCTATAATTCATTCGTTAATGGGGGAAGACGCGTGAATCGGTTGCTTTCATTATTGTTGTTCCATTCATTCCTTCTATAGCTTGTATTAGGAAGAAGTTTATAATTTTTAAAGAATCAAAAAATGCTTAAAAAGAAAACAAGTCAAGTTATTTGTTGGTTTGTTGATGGATTGACTGTCATTCAAGACTTGAGTGGTTGAAACGAACATCATCATCATCATCATCATGAACTCATGAACGGTATAGGAAGAAGGTAGAAGAAGGAGGAGAACATAAGAGGATGAAAAAGAAAATTGTGAATTCTATATATATATATGTTCAATTCATATATTCAAACGCTTTTCCCTTCCCCTATCATATTCGAATGCTGGAAGAGATAGATTGTCGTATTGGAAAGTAGATGGCGATAGTCTTTAGAAGTAAGTTCCAAATCTGTTATCCTATATATAGTATGTGTTTGTGTATATGGATATGTACATACCATTTAAGGAGAGAGGGGGGGAAGTAGAGTATTAAGGAGATTATAAGCGATAACATTAATTCTTCTTCTTCTTTCTGTTCTTTTATTTTTTTAATTGACTGTTATAACAGGCAGAACCTGCTTATGATTAAATTGATGAAGCAAAAGCCAGTAAATCTTATTAAAAAAGTTTTTTATGACAAAAAAGTGTCAGAAAATGGTTTTTATCAATCTTTCTTCGTATAAGCTTCAAGTTGATTAACTAGTTATGACAAGTATGATTTCAACTTGTTCTCACCATTTTTTAACGTTTTTACAATAATAATATAATTATTTAATTAATCAAATATGCTAATTATATGTTTTTAAGATGTAATGAAGAAGCTTCTTCTCTCTCTCTTCTCTCTCTTCTCACTCTCTCTCTCTCTCTCTCTCTCTCTCTCTCTCTCTCTCTATTTCTCAACTAAAACTACAACTACAACGACTACTACCGCTACTACAGCTACTACGGTCGCTGCAAATGCTGATGCACAATCCACTAAACTACGTGCAGACAGATAGATGCAGAAAGAGAGAGAGAAAGCAAAGCATCTGACGTGTATGCATATGGGACAAGCTGTTCATTTTCGTTTTTTATTTATTTCCAGATGACACAAACATACTGTATGTGAAGTTTGATAAGTTTTAATTGTTCAGAAATCAGAGGAAGTCATGTTAGTTTGGCAAATTTTGGTTGAAAAAAAAATTTGCAGAAAAATGTAATTGAAAAGAGCAAAGGGCTTTAAAGCAAATACGGACTGTCTGTATAAAAGGAGAAGCTCTGAAGTATGGTCTTTATTTCATATTCAACAATCAGAGATGAATTCATTCATTTCCGGTAGCTTAATGATCATAATTCTATTTAGTTCAGAGGTATTCAAATATTGAAAAGATAATTCATTTTTTAATAACATAAAAGGTCACTGCTGCTTCTGAATGTTGTCGAACAGGTGGCTTTTGGTCTGAATGGAATGGTAATGTAGCTGATTGCGCCGATACGTGCGGAGGTTTAGTTAAATTTAATCCGTTATCATCAGATCGTTACCTTTTAAGGTTATGGAACTTATAACCGAACGAGAACTTGTTTATCAGAAGCTGATGGATGTCCATGCACGTATGTTCCAATTTCAATATATTTAAATAATTATGAACTCTTTAGTGGAGAGACTGAACAAGTGGCTGTATGTGATAGAACACCTTGTAACTATCCAAGATATCTCAGCTGTGCCGAAGGATATAGCGCTGGCTTACTTCTTAATCGAATTGCTTGCAAGAAGCCGGTATAATCACTCATATGCGGGCTTCTCTCATTTCATGTTTTAGGATGAGGAGTTAGTAAACGAAACTCCAGAAGTATCAGAATGCGCTGAATGTTGCCCACCAAAAGGAATTTGGAGTGAATGGAAAGGACAGGGTGTCTGCAGTGACACTTGTGGATCATTCGGCGTTTTGATTCGAAATAGGAAATGCTTGTCCGAACAGTATAACTGTCCTTGCGAGTAAGTTTTTAGAAGATGAACTGAAAGTGAGACTATTTTTTAAGAGGAGAAACAAAAGATGAAGTTCCCTGCAATCCTACGCCCTGTACGAATTCTACATCTACTTGTAACGCAGGGTTCGGATTACAGTATAATGATAAGGTTGGATTAGTGATATGCGCCGCTGTCAACCCTGTCGTGGAAGAAGTTATACCTATTTCTAATTGCTGCGATCCAGGTATATCAATAAAACAAAAAATAGATGAAAATGATTAAACAGAGAGATTGGGATTGTGGAACTCATGGTCAGAGTGGTCACTCTGCTCAGCAACATGTGGAATGTGCGGCAAGCGTATCAGATCACGCACATGTGCCAGTCAAATGCATGGATGCGCCTGCATGTATGTGTTATGATTCCTCTGATGAATATAATTGTTTCATTCAGCGGATCAAACAAAGAAGAAAAACCCTGCGGAAATATACAATGCGAAGGAGAAGAGACTTGTTGCTCACCAGCCGTTCCAGCTATTGCATTCGATGGATCAAAGATCTGCACACTAAACTCAGATGCTTTGACAACAACAGCAACAACAGCAACAACTAGTACAACAACAGATTCCATGTTGGGCAGTTGGTCAGTATGGAAAGCTGTCTCTGGATCAACATGCAATGACACTTGCGGATCTTGTGGAAGGCTATCAGCTGCAAGAACTTGTCTTCCTGCTGGAGCTACCTGTCTGTAAGTTTCAAGTTTATTGTTGTGATCTATAGTTTTTGTTTTCTGTTATTCACTCTTATTTTTATCATATTCAGAGGAGAAGCTACAGGACTGATCCCATGTAATCCAGTAGTGTGTGCTTTTCCTCGTAGCACATGCTGTACAGGATACAAAAAACATTTTGATGCAGGACTTCGCATGTTCGACTGTGTCCCCGAAAACTGAGTAAACAGATGGACAAACAATAGACAAGAATCTCGTTTATCGTCTCGAAGATGATGTTTTATTTAAATTTTATCTTTGATACATACATGGTCATAAATAATTTAATTGTTAGTTTACATCCTCCTCATGGAAAGTTGATCTCAATCTGTGGGAAACATTGATAGGATGTCTCTTCACACACATGCTTATCGGGACACAAATTGTTCACACATGGTCCTATTGCTTCAGATCCTTCTCTCTTACGAGCTAAACATAGTTAATCAACATATGTGTAATTGCACACATTAGAATTTACCTGGTGGACGTATGCATTCATCTTCATGACAACTGTAACTCTCAGGACATTTGTAGTTGATACAAGGCCCTATGATCTGCACTGAAACAAAAGAAAATACTTAATAAAAGAAAACTGAAAATCTAAAAACTTTTCGACATATCAGGACGACAACGAGAGTTTTCACACATGAAAGCCTCGGGGCATTTTCCAGCTATGCATGGTCCAATAGCTAATTGGTTCTTATAATCTGATAGAAAATGAAGATATGAGATTAAATGAGAGAAAAAAGCATACATAGATCAGGCTTAATTCCAAAGAGTTGTACAGTTGGAAGAAGAGCAAGAACGAGCAGCCCAACTCGAAGCATTCTCGAGCTTATTCTGACATAACGGAAGTGACCACGAGGGGAGGACGAACTTAGTCGAAAACGTTCTTTTCAAGAACTATTTGTTTAACATTTTGAACAATTTGTCTTCCTAGTTCAAGAGGTTTATTTTTCGAATAAAAAAAGAAAACTTTTTTAAATCCAATTGACAGAAGATTGATTTCAAATTGATTTACCTTTCATTCTCTTTTACCCTTTGTCTCTCTTCTTCGCTCTCACCCTACCTCTTTCTCTCTATCTCTCTTTCTTTTTCTTACTTTGTGTTCCCTAACTTGTTAACTAGGTAAAAGGGATAGTTATAATTGACATAATTTCTTTTAGCGATTCGCTTTTTTATTTGATTAACTCTTCTTCTTTATTACTTAACTTCTCATGCTAAATGACGTCATCGTATGTATGTAAGCAACCGTTTCATAGATCTGTTTCATCGAGAAATGAAGAGAAAAAAAAACATTTTTATTTCACGTGAGAATGACGTGATGTATGATTAGCAGGTGAGTCATTAGACCAAATGAGCTTCGTTTTTTTCGCGTAAAATACAAACAGGAGTCTTTTTTTTATTTTTGATTTTGTTTGTTTTGTTTGTTTCCATTAATAACCGCTTGGTTCTGAGGATGATCCAACGGCTTGAGCTTCCTGATGAACTGTCTCAGGTGCTTGCTCAGCAGCTTCACTACTCTGTTGGCTTTGAGCACCTTCACCTACGGGAGCAAGTTGTTCATCACCATATTGGTTGTTTCTTCGGAATCTTCAACATTTGTTGTATTTGCTATGAAAATATCATGCGAATCACCTGTAGCCACTATTGGTTACATCTGTTTGCGTCATGGGTGATTGTTGAACAGCCTCAGCAGCATGTTCAACAGCGGCGCTGTAAATTTTGTTTTACGCTGGTGGCTTCGTAGGAGAAACTTACTCATATGATTGAGCTCCACCGCCTACGGGGACAACTGATTCATCACCGTAACTATTGCGTCTTCGACGATAACCGCTAGCAACACTTTTCGGAGTCGAAGAAGCAGATTCTTGACTGACTTTTGCAGCTTCTTCTTCTGGAGCTGTGTTTGAAGATAAATCAGCACCGCCGCCTTCTGGTACTACTTGTTCGTCACCATAGCTGTTGGCGCTCTTAGCTTAAGAAGAAAAAAAACGAATAAGTAAATGAAAAAGGAACCTTACCTAGAAGAGAATTAATAGTGAGAGAGAAGATAAGGGAAAAGAGTACAATATGCATAATATAAGGAAGATGTGATTGAGACTGTGAGCTTCTACAGCTCCTTAAATAGAATGAGATGGTAAAGAAGAAGAACCAGTTGAGGTTAATAAGACCTCAATGGCGTCACACCTTAGATCGAACAAGTACATAATAGTACTTAAGTATTCTCTCCGATAATTTGTTATTTCCACCTTCGAATGAAGTAATGCATTTTCATTTTCATATTTCTTTATATTGTTGTTGTTGATGATTCAAGTACTTATTTGCCATCACCATGTCTACCTTATTAGGAATAGTCGTTAATGTGATAATTGCATTGATTTCAATACCATAAACATAATGATTCAAAAAAACTCGAAGAAATAAAGGTCAGGATAAACTACTACGATTCTGCTTCAGTACATGTGTGTATGCATATGAGTGTGTAGAGAGAGAAAAGAGAGATAGAGATAGAGAGAGAATAAGTGAGAGAGAAAAAGCAAATTAGTAAGAGATAGTAGATGATGAGAATGAAAGAGTAAAGAGTGGAACACAACAGAGATAGTGGACAGAGTTGTTTCCAACGAGAACCAATGAACTTTCAATTTTATTTTCAGTTCAGGACATGCTGCACCGGAATTTGATCAAACTGACTATTCTTTAGCTTCTTTTTTTTTGATTTTCAAACAAACTTATCAATCATTTCGAAAGCAATGAAGACCTAATAGTTGAGCTACGAACCAGTAGACGCTTTTCTATTGTATTTCGCCCTACAATTCCTGTTCTTTTTTCCAATCAACGGATATATAAAAGGATATATAAGAGTAAATAGGATCAGTATCTTCGTAGCCATGCGCTCCTTCTATATATTACTTCTTCTGCTACTGAGTACATTAGTTCAAGTTGAATCAAGAGCATGTAAGTTATCCGTATTATTTATATTTAATTTCTTCCATTTACTATTTTTGATGTTCTCAATTATTCCTTTTTGTTTTTTTGGAAATAAATGTTTCACATAATTATATTTGTGAATGTATACCGTTCTTTTCAATTTGTGCTTCCAGTATTCAAACGGCAAGCGGAAGAGGAAGATGATGGTGCAGTAACTGTTGAAGGAGAAGAAACCACACCGGCTGGTGAAGTCACCGATCCTGCGGAAGTTACAGATGCTCCAGAAGTTACAGATGCTCCAGAAGTTACAGATGCTCCAGAAGTAACTGATGAACCAGAAGTAACTGATGCACCAGAAGTGACTGATGCACCAGAAGTGACTGATGCACCAGAAGTAACTGATGCACCAGAAGTGACCGATGCTCCAGTAGTAACTGATGCACCAGAAGTGACCGATGCTCCAGTAGTAACTGATGAACCATATCCACAACCTCCCACGAAATCTTATGTCGACGAACCGTATGCTCCAAAAGGCTCAAAGAAAGTTGGGTACGAAAACAACGAGGAGAATTCTTACAATACCATCAAACAAGGATCCGTTAGTAACTTAGCCGTTGCAGCTTCTGGATACAAAATTCGCCGCGTCAAACGAGAATATAACGATGAGGAGGTTACTCCAGCTCCAGCAACTGATGCTACCGGTGGATACGAACCACCAGTTGAGGTTACCGAAGCCCCAGTTGATAATGGATACGGAGAGACTCAACCACCAGTCTCACCAGCTGGATACAGAGCCAAGCGTGAATACAATGATGAGGAAGTTACTCCAGCCCCAGCCACTGACGGATACGAGCCACCAGTTGAAGTTACCGAAGCTCCAGTTGACAATGGATATGGAGAGACTCAACCACCAGTCTCACCAGCCGGATACAGAGCCAAGCGTGAATACAATGATGAGGAAGTTACTCCAGCCCCAGCCACTGATGGATACGAGCCACCAGTTGAGGTAACCGAAGCCCCAGTTGATAATGGATACGGAGAGACTCAACCACCAGTCTCACCAGCTGGATACAGAGCCAAGCGTGAATATAACGATGAGGAAGTAACCCCTGCCCCAGCTACTGATGGATACGAGCCACCAGTTGAGGTTACCGAAGCCCCAGTTGACAATGGATATGGAGAGACTCAACCACCAGTATCACCAGCTGGATAC